CTAGCTTGGGGAGCCCCCACGGGGGGGAAAAGTGAAAATTCCCTAGCTTGGGAAGCCCCCACGGGGGGAAAATTCCCTAGCTTGGGGAGCCCCCACGGGGGGAAAAGTGAAAATTCCCTAGCTTGGGGAGCCCCCACGGGGGGAAAGTTAAAATTCTTAGCTTGGGGAGCCCCCACGGGGGGAAACCACCCTTAGCCCCTCTCACGGACCGAAATAAACCTGCGGTGTGGGCGGCCACCCCACGCGAAGCGGGGTGAATAGATAGATCGACAGACAGACAGATAGATAAATAGTCAGAGAGACAGCTAGAGAAATAGATGGCGAGATAGACAGATAGATACATAGACACATAGAGAGATAGTTAGATACCAAGACAAATAGAGAAATAGATGGGTAGAGACATAGACAGATAGATAGACAGATAGACACATAGACAGACAGATAGAGAGAGATATATATATAGAGAGAGAGAGCATTTGATCGATAGATAGAAAGAGAGACAGACATTTGATCGTTGGCACTTCTCTGACGGTACGAAGTCACATGACCAGCCAGAATTCGTTGCATGTCAGCGTGTGTGGTCACATCACCAGCCGGAATTCGTCGCATGTCAGCGTGTGTGTCTTTTCTGATCGCACGATGGCCAGACAGACAGACAGACAGACAGACAGACAGACCGACAGACAGACAGACAGACAGACAGACAGACACACAGACAGACAGACAGATAGACAGATGAAAGAGAAAGAGAGAGAGAGATAGGGATAGATAGATAGACCGAAAGATAGATAGATAGATAGATAGATAGACAGATAGACAGCTAGACAGATAGACAGATAGACAGATGAGAGAGAGAGATAGATAGATAGATCGATCGATAGATAGTTAGATAGATAGATAGTTAGAAAGATAGGTAGATAGATAGATCGATAGATAGATAGGTAGATAGATAGATAGATAGATAGGTAGGTAGATAGATAGATAGATAGATCGATAGATAGATCGATAGATCGATTACATAGAAGATAGGTTGGTAGGTGGGTAGATAGTCAGAGAAAGAGAGAGAGATCAAGCACCTTTCAGTCCATCAGTGGCTTCGCTCTGCCATCCCTGATTCACAACAACCAATCTCTCCTATAGGTTTCCTATTTTTGAAACTTCCGCCACCGCCTTGTGCGGTACTACTGGTATAATATTATCTAATAAATTCTAATAATATCATACCAGTAGTACCGCACAAGGCGGTGGCGGAAGTTTCAAAAATAGGAAACCTGTAGGAGAGGTTGGTTGTTGTGAACCAGGGATGGCAGAGCGAAGCCACTGATGGAGCGAAAGGTGATTGATCTCTCTCACTATTTCTCTCTCTTTCTCTGACTATCTACCTACCTACCTACCTACCTATCTATCTATGTATCTATCTCTCTCTCTCTCTTTCATCTAATTACCTATCTATCTCTCTCTCTCTCTTTCATCTAATTACCTATCTATCTATCTATCTATCGACCTATCTATCTATCTCTCTCTCTCCTTCATCTGTATAGCTGTCTATCTGTCTATCTGTCTATCTATCTACCTGTCTACCTCTCTATCTGTGGTGCAGTGTCATTGAGTGTAATGTAGCGTAGTGTAATGTAGTGTGGTGTAGTGGAGTGTAGTGGAATGCAGTGTAGTGAAGTGTAGTGTAGTGTAATCTTAGTGTAGTGTAATTAGTGTAGTGGAGTGTAGGGTAGTGTCTGTAGTGTAGTGTAGTGTAATTTAGTGTAGTGGAGTAGTGTAGTGGGGTAATGTAGTGTAGTGGAGTGTAGGGTAGTGTCATGTAGTGTAGTGTAGTGTAATTTAGTGTAGTGGAGTGTAGTGGAGTGTAGTGGAGTGTAGTGGAGTGTAGTGGAGTGTAGTTGTGTAGTTGTAGTGGAGTGTAGTGTAGTGGAGTGTAGTGAAGTGTAGTGGAAGGTAGTGTAGTGTAGTGTAGTGTATGTAGTGTAGTGTAGTGGAGTGTAGTGTAGCGTAATGTAGTGTAGTGTGATTTAGTGTAGTGGAATGGAGTGTAGTGGGGTGTAGTGGAGTGTAGTTATGTAGTTGTAGTTGTAGTGTAGTGGAGCATAGTGTAGTGTAATGTAGTCGTAGTTGTAGTTGTAGTGTAGTGGAGTGTAGTGGGGTGTAATGTAGTGAAGTGTAGTGGAAGGTAGTGTAGTGTAGTGTAATGTAGTGTCGTGGAGTGTAATGTAGTGTAGTGTAGTGGAGTGTAGGGTACCGTGGTGTAGTGTAGTGGAGTCTAGTGTAGTGGAGTGTAGTGGAGTGTAGTTGTGTAGTTCTGCAGTTGTAGCTGTAGTGTTGTGGAGTGTAGTGTAGTGTAATGTACTGTAGGGTAGTGGAGTGTATAGTGTCGTGTAGTGACCCGAAGCGAAGCGAAGCGACATCTGAACCTCCAAAAGTGGTCCGAACCCCTAGTGTTTTGTACATTTTAACTTCGAAATGTGCTTCGCGCCACAACGGTGTGCACTTTTTCGACATCTGAACCCCTAAAAGTGGTCCGAACCCCTAGTGTTTTGTACATTTTGGTCCGACAATGGTGTTTTTTTTCTACATTTTGACTTGGAAATGTGCTTCGCGCCAGGCGTGCACTTTTTCGACATCTGAACTTCCAAGAGAATGGTGTGTTTTGTACATTTTGACTTCGAAATGTGCTTTGCGCCACGACGGCGTGCACTTTTTCGACATCTCAACTTCCAAAAGTGGTCCGAACGTGGTGTGTTTTGTACATTTTGACTTGGAAATGTGCTTCGCGCCACAACGGCGTGCAATTTTTCATCTCTCCTCTGGCCAGCTGGCTCCGCACCCGCCGCTTTCGCGAGCCTACTTTTCGACCCTCCGGAGCCACAAATCATTGGAAAAACACAGTGTTTCGCGACTACCTTTTCGCGCATCTCCATCTTATTTCTTCTTACTCTTTCTCTTAACTCTTCTCTCTTCTGATCTTTCTCTTCTCTCTGCCTCTCATCTGTCCATATTGTCGGAAGTTTGACTTCTAAACTTCCTTCGATAATCATATACAATCTAAAGCCACCGGGAATCGAGCAATTACACCAAGTCAAGATGTTACGCACCTTTTGGAGTCATGAGGAGTCATGTACACATCATTTTACATCTCCTCTCTGGTTGGCCAATGAAACATAGTAGATTGATGTAGATTGAATGGCTATGAATGTCTCCAATTTTGGCATCCGAGTCTGGAAGTTGGGATTGAAAAAAGCATGCTCCACACTGAGACAGACAGCAAACACCCAAGGGGCAGAGAAAGTTCCAACACGTTGGCAGCCTCGTTGAACAAACCGTTTGGGATCTATTGCTAGCAGAATTCCTTCCAAAGAACAGAGAGGTCTTACGTAAATATCTTTGAAATTTATGAAAATTTGAGGTTTACTGTAAATCTTCATGAATCATCTTCAGCTTGTTCCTCATGCTCCCAACTTTCCCACATGAATGGCTCCAGACAATTTGAGTCCTTCGGCTCCGGGGCCAAGTGAAAGAAACGCTTCTTCCGAGTTGTCCTATCACTGTAGCTTGATGTAGCTTGCAAGCAGGAGGAAGTGAGTCAACCCGAACCAATCTCACACACTACATTATTACTAGTCTAGTCACTAGTCGACCTCGAGAGGAAAGTGCAAGCCTGGGATGCAGCCAGTTGACAGTGATATTCATTCCTATCATTCCTCGAAACAAAGTTCAAAATGGTTCAAAATGGTTCAAGTTCAAATATGTTCAAATCTATGCAAAGGTCGGGGATTATCGGACGCTTGCTACTAGTTACTACTCTCCCAACCCAAGGCCGGACATCCCAACAACCAGCACAAGGCTACAAGGCAATGCCACTGGCAGTTTGAGTGTCCACAGGGCAAAATGTCCTTCGCTACGATTCCAAATTCCAAACACTTCTGATTGCAACAATTCTTAAATGCTTCAAACTTCTGACCCGTCTCCGGAATTGTCTCAATCACACCAAAGAATGCAAAAGAAATCTTGACAAGTCTTGACAACAGTCGAGCAAAGTAGGCGCAGTGCCGCACCTTCCATTTGTGGCCTTGGCCTTGGCCAACAGGCGATGTCACAATGTTGTGCAAAAACGGGATGACATGGGATGACATTGCGAAGAATTTTACCTTTCTCCTTCGGTTTTCACATGTGTTCACCCTACACAGGCCAATCTACATAATTTATCATAATTTACTCACCTCGTACCACAACAGTCACAACAGCTGCAATATGTTGCAATGATTCCCACCTGCGGCCCGTCGCTCATCGCATCTCATTGCCGCATGGCTTTTGAGTCACGCAGGAGCTCGCTGCATGGTTGTCTCATGTTGTCTCATGTTGTCCTAATACATCTCGATTTTGACTTTTTCTCTGTGGGTATCAAAGATTATCAAAGCTACTCTGCGGGAAATTGTGAGAAGATTCAAGCGGTCTGAAGTTGCTCTTGCTCCTTTTTAAACAGGGATGTTGGTTGAGATGTCTGTTTTCAAACACATAGTTGCCGCTACACACGGTTGATAAGTTTGAGTCTTGCTCGTCCAAGCGACAGTAGTTAATATGAAGCTCCTCTTGATTTCATGAAGCTGACGTTTGAATCAGTGATTCGCAACATGACTTTTCTACTTTTCAGCCTGGAGAATGTGGCAGTGTCGCATCTGGAAGTCAGTGACATGTGATAGGAAACCTACACGCCTTGGAAGCAAGAGGCCCCTGGCAGTGCAGTATGTTATATAGACGCACAAACTTGCATCCTCGACCTTGACAAATGAAATCAACAAAAATTGGATTCTCCAGCCTACATGCAAAAAAAACAGGTGCAAACTGCTTGACACTGACGTGCATTTAAATTGTCTGGAGCTAGATCTGCTGTGTCAGTACATGGGTACCTCAGGTATTTCAAGCTGATGCTTTGCATGCCCAAATGCGCCCCAGAAGCCTCCGCCCCAATCTCCACACGTCTCTAGATGTCTCTAGACATCTCCCTCTGCCTTGCTGGAGCGGCATTGGAATTGGTCCAGGATTGTGTCTGTATCAGCATCGCGCGGGTGCTCGTACACCACATGCTGCCTGTCCCAGTTGCAGCTGCCCACATAATCCAAATGAATGAATCCAAATGACACATAATGACACATAATGACACATAATGACGAATCAAATTAACAGGATGCCATAGAATTTGTACACAAGTTGTTCGAGACTTCTGTGGGTTATCGTGTCTTCATCTTGCATGGATTTAGAGGAAAAGGGGCTCCTACCCGGACCTAGAACCGCTACAAGTCAAAAGATGCAGAAGACTTGAGACATCTCGAGATACATCAGCGGAGATTCATCTTCTTTGATTCTCTTTGGACAAGTAAACTGATGTAAACTGTCAGCAGGAGCTACTGTATTAGACCATCGAATACATTGATGACGATTGTAAACGTATTGTAAACTTTCAAAGCCTTCGCCGTCTTTGATCTCAAATGGTGCCGGTTGCACTTCCTCAGCCCTCAGCCCCGCACCAGGCTTGATCTTTGTCCAACCACATCATGGTTGTTGTGGCCAACCACATCTCGCTGCTGCCGGGGACCGGGGCCACTGCAACCTGAGTACAAAAAGCGGGAACATGGCACGTATGCGGCACAGGGATGCACTTCTCCAGAAGCGCAAAGCAAACCAAATGCAAACCAAATGCAAACCAATTGCAAGCGGAAAAAAACCCTTAGCACATTGAACAATTTCGTCATCCACACATTGACCCTGCAATCTGGCTCTCCGTAGTCTAAGTAGTGACTTTAGTCGTAGTACCGTAGTGCATTGTACGAGTACTGATATGTTTTAGGATTCTTCGAGGGACAGCTGCCAGGCAGACCAAGGAGGACTGTAGTTTCTCTCCCACGGTCTTGGCCTCGCCGCTTGTGAAGCAATGTGGAGCACGTCCAACTCGCAATTGCACAATACAGATCAACAATGTTCGACTATGACGAATACGCCAAATTCATCCAAATTATTCCAAATTCATCCAAAATCATAAAATATACAAAGCAAGAAAAACAAAGAGGGTAAAAAGTCGCTTGACAGAAGCCACGAACCCGAATGCATTTTTAAAAGTTCGCGTAGAAGAAAGGTTCCTACAGAACAATGAAAAGCGAAAAGGAGATGTTCGATCGCATTAAAAATCATTCTTGCAGAACACTCTTGTTTGACACTCTTCTCGGACGATCGTGTGGGACACTCTTTTGTGACACTCTTGTGGCATACTCTTGTGGAGCATGCTTGTGGGACACTTTTATGGGACACTCTTGTGAGACACTCTTGCCAGACACTCTTGCTCGACACTCTTGTGGCACACTCTGGTAAAACACTCTCTCTCAATACTCTGAAGCACTCTTGTAAGACACTCTTGTTGGACACTCTTGTTTGACACATCTGGAACACCTCGCAGTACTACTTTGTACACCTCACAGTACTACTTTATACTGCAAAATTTGCACAGAGTAATTCCCAGTACTACTTTGCAGTAAATTTTCCACAAGGCACTCCCCACTACTACTACTTTGTACCACAAAGTTTGCACACGCACTTCCTAGTTTTACTTCGCACTCCAGACTCCACACTCCACAGTTAACTCCACACTTCCCACTCCACACTTTACACTCCACATTCCACGCTCCACACTGCACACTGCGCACTTCACACTCCACACTTCACAGTCTCCACACTGCACACTTCACGCTCCACACTTCACAGTCTCCACACTTCACACTCTCCACTCCACACTTCACACTTCACACTCTCCACTCCACACTTCACACTCCACATTCCACACTCCACACTACACACTCAACACTCCACTCTGCACACTCCACACTCCAAACTTCACAATCTCCACACTTCACACTCTCCACACTCCACTCTCCACTCTCCACTCTCCACTCTCCACTCCAGTCACTCCGCACTCCACACTTCACACCTCACACTTCGCACTCTCCACTCCACACTTCACACTCCACGCTCCACACTCCACACACTCCACCCTTCACACTTCACACTCCACACTTCACACTCTCCACTCTCCACTCCACACTTCACACTCCGCACTTCACACTCCACACTCAACACTACACACTTCCCACATCACACTACACACTCTCCACTCCAGAAGTCGCACTCCACACTCCAAACTCCACACTTCACACTCAACACTCCACACTTCACACTCAACACCTTACACCCAAGCTCCACACGGCACACACTCCACACACTTCAGACTTCACACTTCGCACTCCACTTCACACTTCACACTCCACTTCACACTTCACACCCTACACTCAACACTCCACACTTCACACTCCACACTCCACACTTCACACTCCATTTCACACTTTGCACCATCCACTCCACACGTCACACTTCACACTCCACACTTCACACTTCATACTTCACACCCCACACTCACTCCACACTTCACACTTCACACTTCACACCTCACACTTCACACTTCACACTTCACACACCACTCTTCACACTCCACAGTTCACAATGCACTTTCACACGTCACAGCAAACCACCTTTTCTTACTTTCCCCATAGACAGCGGCGACGACGCCATTAGAGAGTCGCCAAGCAACTTTCGCTTGAGTGCCACAAAGTCCCATGCCTGCCACGTGAAATGCACTTTCACACGTCACAACACATCACCTTTTCTCGCTTCCCCGTAGACACCGCGACGACGCGATTAGAGACCCCAAAAACAAACTTTCGCTTGAGTGCCACAAAGTCCCATGCCTGCCACGTGAAATGCACTTTCACACGTCACAACACATCACCTTTTCTCACTTCCCCATAGACACCGCGACGACGCGATTAGAGACCCCAAAAACAAACTTTCGCTTGAGTGCCACAAAGTCCCATGCCTGCCACGTGAAATGCACTTTCACACGTCACAACACATCACCTTTTCTCGCTTCCCCGTAGACACCGCGACGACGCGATTAGAGACCCCAAAAACAAACTTTCGCTTGAGTGCCACAAAGTCCCATGCCTGCCACGTGAAATGCACTTTCACACGTCACAACACATCACCTTTTCTCACTTTCCCCATAGACAGTGGCGACGTTGCAATTAGAGCCCCGCGACACGAAAACGACCGGCAAAACAGTCCACCACCCCCAGACCCCCAAGAAAGAAAACAAAAACCCTTCGCTACGCATTTGGAAAAGTCATGATGTCACCATACGTCATTCTAGGTTCGAAGCCTTTCCTACTAAAGATATCTCACTTCCATTCACTTCCATTCACTTCGATTCACTTCCTGTCTTGACCAAAAACGGCATGGGAAATGACCAGCACAACCACAAAATGTTGAGGATGTTGAGGAAGAACGTGCTACCGTAGCTACGGCCTTAGGTCCAGTGCGATGTCGACGATGTGTATACACTGTATACACTTTCATTTCAGGCACTGCTTTTTAACATGTTTCAAGCAGCTTGTACAAGCATTGTACTCATGGCAGTTGGCGCTTGTCTGGTTTTCCCAGACTTTGCGAAACAAGAAGTGCATCAGGGTCGGCCTATTTATTGATTTCTGGATTTCATTCAATTGGAAAACTGTTGTCAACTAAAGATTGACAAGGGTGAAAAAATAGATCCTGTACGTCAGGATATTTGGGTCCAAAACATTGACATACTAAGAATCCTTGAGATGCTTCTCTCCAGTGCCCCAGACCCCTGACACGCCTGAAAAGCACGTCTCCTGCGAATGTTTGGATAGCTTGGCTGGGCGCACACAAAATCAGTCCCACCTCGTCCCTCTCTGAATGTCAACCAAGAAATGATATGGTTGCGAGTACTTTGACATTGGTTGATCATGGCACAAGACTGTTGGTTTCACAAGTTGTAATAGATCTACATGTCCTAGGAAGCTGCTGTGAAATATCTGTTCAGGTCTTGACAAACTGGTGACAAACTGTTCGACCGGTTCCTAGAAGAAAGAGCGCCCTGCTGCTGCAGCCCTCGACCTCACTGAGTGGGGCTTGCCGCAGCAAGAACGGATACATTCGGATTAGCATGGCGTATTTTGTCCTCACAAATTCATGACGACACATGGAAGAATTCTTAGACCGCCTAGGATACGTGAAACCAAACCAACATCGACAATGAGTTAAATTGACCCTAAATGATGATAAGAATAGTTGATGAACTCGTCTTGTATTTTGACATGCACGAGTTCCAGCGCACTGCTTACTGAAGAAATGAGCAAAAAAGATCAAATTACTTTCTTCGAGTGAGCCCCACCCTGACAATTATTCTGAAATAGTTTCTGAATGTTTCTGACATACCATCTGGAAATAATATATGGATATATATTCTGACATTCTATCTGACATACTTTCTGGGTCTTTCCGGCATTCATTCTGGCATTCTTTGTGGCATTTATTCTACAAAGATCTGGCGCTCGCGGTTGACGTCCAGTGCACACTGCGATCTGCCGCTCACCGTTGAGGTCTGGCAGTGCCCACATGTGCCCACTGAGATCTGGAGCTCGCAGCGATCCGAGGCTGCCAGAGAAGGAGGAAGGAAGGAGGAAGAATGAGACAACTCGGATGATTAGAGACCCTCACCTGGTGGGGAAAAGGAATAAGATGGAATAAGTATAGTAAAAAGAAAAACAAGTCCCAATATGTCACAACATGTCACAACATGTCACAACATGTCACAACTGCCCTGAGGCTGAAACTCAGCAACTTCAGCTGCCGAGCCAAGCGCCCAGCGCGCTGCAAGCGAGTGACGATGCAATTCCGAGTCCGAGCGTCCAAAAGCAGACATAAAAATGTATATAATATGTTAAGACATGTGAAATCATATGAAAATATGAGGTGTTTGACATGTTGTACTGTGGAATTGGCTGGTGAGAAGCACTGCGCAGCGCTTCATGTTTCCCAAGATTCACAGCGATTTGCAAGTACGAGGCTTTTCGAGGCAGAATGTGTCAAAGCAAAGTAGTCTTTTGAATTCTTTTGAGGCTGTCGGAGGTCGGAGGCCAAACTACAGTATATACAATTTTCGATTCGGGGAGCAAAGAATACTTTGGAGAAGCCGCTCTTCGCGCACTGCCTGATGCATTTCTTGATGACGCTCAAGCAATCGCTGAACCTGCCCAGCCGGTGAAACGTGGTTCCAGCGCATGGTGCTTTGGGGGGGCAAGTCCGTCCACTTGGGCACAAGCTATAAACCTACGTAAAATTGACCAAATTCAATCCGGTCTGAACCAATCACACAGCCTTAGGTGGTATGGCATGAGATGGTATGAGTATGTATGAGTATGTATGAGTGTAAGTACAAACAATAATAATATATCAACATGCATAAATTTGCAATATACAATAAAATATACAATTTATTTAGTATAATAAGGTATAATTACATGTAATTACATTGTTGGCATAGACTGCGTGTATATGTGTGATTATGTGTGTATATGATTGTATATGTGTGTATATGTGTGTATATGATTGTGCACATAGACAAGCAACATATCTACTTCATTCTACTTCATTGTATACAGTGAGCACACGGTGCCTACATTATATGCCTCGATACTTCGCTACGGCCCTCTGTCGCTGCTCCCATCCACACCTCGAGGCCACTGACCCCCGCGGCACTGAACCAACTGGCACGGTCCATGTCTTCAAAGAGCAAGCGCTCTCGAACCTGCAAAGATCTGTAAAGTACGCACCGCGTACGCAACGCGTTGCTCAACGTGAAGCCCAGCTCTTGGGTGCTTCGGCGGTATTGCGCATTCTCGCACTCTGCATTTCGCTGAAATTAGAAGGCAATTGAATATAGATTATATATTATAATTATATATATATATATGTGTATATATAATTGTATATATATATATATATCTATCCGCCGACCCCGGCCGACGCAAGGGGGAGCGCGTAAGGGAAGAAGATGGAAGAAAAGGACTGGAGCAGCCAGCAGGCATGTTTGCCTCAGAGGCAGCAGCAGCAGCAGCAGCAGCAGCAACATTGAGCAAGAGGAACAGCAACAGCAACAACAACAACAACCACAACAACAACCAAAAAAAAAACAACAACAACAACAACAACAACCACAACAACCACAACAACCACAACAACCACAACAACCACAACAACGACGACGACGACGACAAACAATGACCCTTTGCCGGGGGACCCTGTTGGGTCCCCCTCCCACCGGTCACGTACGTCGATTCATTGACTCCGGGGTTTTTGTTTTACCGGTGGGGGGTCCTTCCCGGAGTCTCCTCGAGGTACGTGGGGCTCCTTGGGTTGCCCTTCCCGCCCTGTTTTGGAGGCTTGCAGCACCAGCTCCAGCAGCACCACCACCAGCAGCAGCAGCAGGCCGAGTAGCTCAATAGCTCAACTCGGTTTGTTCCCGAGAGCGTCTGAGCGCAGGGTTCTTCCAATAGAGGGGGTCTGTATCTCACCTTCTCATCTTCTCACCTTCTCATCTTCACACCTTCTCATCTTCACATCTGCTCATCTTCACATCTGCTCATCTTCACATCTGCTCATCTTCACATCTTCTCTCATATCTGCTCATTTTCACATCTGCTCATCTTCATATCTTCTCTCACATCTTCTCTCACATCTGCTCATCTTCACATCTGCTCATCTTCATATCTTCTCTCACTTCTCATCTGCTCATCTTCACATCTGCTCATCTTTACATCTTCTCTCGCATCTGCTCATCTTCACATCTGCTCATGACATCTTCTCTCACATCTGCTCATCTTCACATCTGCTCATCTTCACATCTTCTCTCACATCTTCTCTCACAGCTTCTCTCACATCTCACATCTTCGCTCACATCTTCTCTCACATCTTCTCTCACATCTGCTCATGACATCTTCTCTCACATCTGCTTATCTTCACATCTGCTCATCTTCACACCTTCTCTCACATCTTCTCACCTTCACATCTTCTCTCCTTTCTCTCTCCTTTTTCTCTCTCTCGCCTTCTTTATCTTTCTCTCTTTAGGCCGAGGGTGGTGCCGGCGGAGAGTCACGAAACGTCAACCCTTTCGCACGAAATGAGGGTCGATCGGCAAAAACTGAGGTAAAACTGCGATTTGACTTGTCCTGGAGCAACCCTTTCGCACGAAATGAGGGTCGATCGGCAAAAACTGAGGTAAAAGTGCGATTTTACTTGTCCGGAGCAACCCTTTCGCACGAAATGAGGGTCGATCGGCAAAAACTGAGGTAAAAGTGCGATTTTACTTGTGCCGGAGCAACCCTTTCGCACGAAATGAGGGTCGATCGGCAAAAACTGAGGTAAAAGTGCGATTTTACTTGTGCTACGGCAACCTTTTCGCACGAAATGAGGGTCGATCGGCAAAAACTGAGGTAAAATTGCGATTTTACTTGTCCCGGAGCAACCCTTTCGCACGAAATGAGGGTCGAAAAAACCCTTGTCGGAGCAACCCTTTCGCACGAAATGAGGGTCGATCGGCAAAAACTGAGGAAAAATTGCGATTTTACTTGTCCCGGAGCAACCCTTTCGCACGAAATGAGGGTCGATCGGCAAAAACTGAGGCAAAATTGCGATTTTACTTGCCCCGGAGCAACCCTTTCGCACGAAATGAGGGTCTATCGGCAAAAACTGAGGCAAAATTGCGATTTTACTTGCCCCGGAGCAACCCTTTCGCACGAAATGAGGGTCGATCGGCAAAGTGTAAAAGCGTCTGTGTGTAAAAGCCTCTGTGTGTAAATGTGTTTGTGTGTCAAAGCGTCTGTGTGTAAAAGTGTTTGTGTAAAAGCGTTTGTGTGTAAAAGCCTCTGTGTGTAAATGTGTTTGTGTGTCAAAGCGTCTGTGTGTAAAAAGCGTCTGTGTGTAAAAAGCGTCTGTGTGTAAAAGCATCTGTGTGTAAATGTGTTTGTGTGTCAAAGCGTCTGTGTGTAAAAAGTGTCTGTGTGTAAAAAGCGTCTGTGTGTAAAAGTGTCTGTGTGTAAAGGCGTCTGTGTGTAAAAGGGTCTGTGTGTAAAAGCGTCTGTGTGTAAAAGCAAAGCGTTTGTGTGTAAAAGCATCTGTGTGTAAAAGTGTTTGTATGTAAAAGCTTCTGTGTGTAAAAGCTTCTGTATGTAAAAGCTTCTGTGTGTAAAAGCTTCTGTGGGTAAAAGCTTTGTGTGTAAAAGCGTCAGTGTAAAAGCGTCTGTTTGTAAAAGTGTTTGCGATGTAAACTATTGTCTTGCACTTCCCACTATCCTGTCTTGATACTCCTCTTCTCGACTGCCTATGACAGAGCTTTCATATATCGTTTCTAATATTGCGTCTCCATACTAACAAGAGAAGACCCTGCTCCCCCCTGAACTGTCCGAGCAAACATGACTGTAAGCATTTCCAGAGCTTCTTTTGGTGGCCGTGGTGCTCGTCTTTGGAGATTTTGGAGGCCTGCTGCATGTTGTCATCAGTGTGTGGCAGGCATTCGATGTTTTGCAGCTAGCTTTTGGTAAAACCGCATGATTTTGCGAGTTTCAACTGCAAGCTTGTGTTCCGTTTGTTCGTCAAAGCATGAAGCTGGTCGGCGCAGCTATTGGTTCGAGATTTGTATCGCGCTTGGCGTCTATAAGGTGTTACTCTGGGTTCGCTGCAACCGGATATGTCCGGGAAGGTCCGAGAGTTGCAACAAGGCTTGACAGAGGGAGGAGTTGATCCCTTCCGGCGCCAGGTGCGCAAACTTGGGATCAATGCATTGAAGGCTTTAGCTTCTGAGCTGGGGATGTCAGTGTGTGGCAGTCATTCGATGTTTTGCACCGCATGATATTGCGCCAGGTGGCAAACTTGGGATCAATGCATTGATCCCAAGTTTGCGCACCTGGCGCAAAATCATGCGGTTTTACCAAAAGCTACAAGTGAGGCGTTTGCTGCAATCCTGGCAGATGGGTCAATCGTGACTTGGGGCACACCAGACTCTGGTGGTGACAGCTCTGAAGTCCAAGATCAACTGAAGGGTGTCCAAGAGGTTCAAGCAAATTGGTACGCATTTGCTGCGATCCTGGCCGATGAGTCAGTCGTGACTTGGGGTTGTCCAGACTCTGGCGGTGACAGCTCTGACATTCAACATGAGCTCAAGGGTGTCCAGCAGGTTCAAGCAACAAACTGTGCATTCGCTGCGATCCTGGCTGGTGGGTCCGTCCTGCCTTGGGGCTTTATAGACCTTTCCGGTTACCTGACACCGGTGAAACAAGCATTTGGATACATGTAATCATATCATCGCAAAGACGATTTGAAAATGAAGTGTATCAGCATGAGTCAACCAGAACTGTCTGAGACTTGTTGATGCACGCATCTTTGCGTGAGTCAAACAGCCCGGTCTGAGACTCCATCGAAGATCAATAAAGCTGTCAGATCCTTTTGCGCATATAGTTGTGACGGAACATCAATGAATGTGATCTGTCGCAGTCATTAGCCATAGTCCTTGAATGCTTTGCAGGTCCGCAGTGTTGGTCTGTGCAGCTAGGTTTGCATCGAGTCAGGGCCCTGGGATGGGATGGATTACCTGTTGAGTGGTAGTACCTGTTCATATTACATAGCATGGTAGTTGGATTTTACCCTTCTATTTTTTGCCTTCCACTCAAACCTCTTTGCATAATGCAACCTATGTCTTTTCAAGGAATGTCCTATGTCCTCTGATGGTGTCAGCTATGTGACCGTGATTACAGGCGCGCGGATGAATGGAGCAGAGGACTTGACAGGTCGTTAATTGACTCTTTTAATGAAAGGCATAGTTTTACGTTCGTGAAAACTGAGATCCCAATCGGCAGTAGTCGGGATATCTTCAACACCACTTGTGATGCAATGTGGAAGATCTTGTAGCGTTCACAGAGATGCTGGACCTGAGGTCGTGTCCGTGGAGGTGCCCAGATAAAGATCAACCGCGGTAGCCACTGATGTCAATTGAATTTGAAAATGAAGTGCATCAGCATGAGTCAACCAGAACTGTCTGAGACTCGCTGATGCACGCATCTTTGATTGAGACATTCAGTTTCACCATAGCGCACCCTGTCTCACCATAGTGCATCCGCGTGAGTCAAGCAGAACGGGATAAGACTCTATCGAAGATGAATAAAGCTGCCGATTCCTTTTGCGCATATAGTTGTTGGTCTGTGCAACTAGGTTTGCATGGAGTCAGGGCCCTGGGATGGGATGGATTACATGGATAGGCAGGCTGCTACCACGAAGAGACAAATCGATATATTATATATTGAGATAGGAATAGCAATATGAAATAGAGATGGATGTATGAATGTTAATATATAGAGATGGATGTATGAGTGTTAAAATAAGAGTTTCAATTCTAGTCACATGGATCCTAAACCCAAAAACCACACGGAAACGAGCACAAGGGCCATCCCATTATATCATATTGTAATACTGTGCTTCTCCCAGCCCAGAAACGTTCGCCGCCTGCCAGGTCCGCCCGTTTATACTTCTTTTTGGGGAGATGGCAAAACACCTTGGTTGGGGGGGCCCAAAGCACATAGCCCTCATGACATGTTTATACATGCTGGTTTCGAGTAAGATCATTTCCTTTCTTTTCCGGTTCACATGGAAATGGGACTTCACCACGCCACCCCATCGACACATGCACGCACGATATAAGGTATACGTGCCCAGGCTCCTCCTCAGGTCTTATGACTTTCAATGGAGGTGATGGTGTACCA